TATATCATGACAATACATATAGTCTGATCTATTTATACTACTATTACAAATTTCATATTGGTATATTGCCATTTTTTGTGTTTTTTGTTGGTCAAAATCGCCGGTTGCGCCGTCTTACTTAATTTGTCGGCTGACACACGATATGCCAAATGCTGAGCTAGACAAATTTGACGAATGTCTTAAACTGCCTTGACTTGGCCAATTTCCATGCCATTTTCATTTCCATTTACAACGTAAGCAATGGCCTGTTTAGCATAGTTCCAGTTGCAGTCCGCTCGCTAAGCAATGGACACACAAGCGCGGCTCCGTCTCTACTTAACACTCTGTTTGCTGTTGAAGACAGCCAGTTCTGCAGGCTGGTCAATGTCTGAGGCGGGTCTCAACGACTCCAGCTATAATGTGCGTCACTTGTCCACACACTTTGCGCGCGTTTTTCTCAGTGTAAGCGTGGAACACAATGATTTCCCCACATTGATCGAGGCACAGTGGCCCGTCTCCTATTTGCCCATGCGCACGGCCATCTATCCCAACAGAGAAGTCCACGCAAGCAGAGGACAGCTCGAGTCGGACTGCACGCGTCTGCAACAAGCGCATTGGTCACAGGTGGACAGCCTCAGTCGTCTGTGGGTCATGGACGTGGGCTGGCCCAACAGCGAGTGTCCGCCTAAACTGTTCGTCTTCGATTTGATAAGGAACAATGCCGAGTTGCTGCGCATCGATTGTGGCCAGCACATTGACAGCAATGCCTCTGAGAGCCTAGTCGTGCAACTGGGACCCAAGGCAAGCAACTGCGAACTGGAACGCCATATCTTCTTCATATCGGACGGTCAACCGCATATCGTGGCCTACGATATACTGGAGCAAACCTGGCATCGGCGCGAACTGAAAAGCAACAAATATGAGAATATGAGTCAAACGTTTCCCATCAAACCAATTGACTTTACCTTCGGGCTGCAGGGCGAGCTGCTTGTCTCCGACCAAGATGGTGTGCTCTACAGCTCCACAAAAAGACTTCAATTGGAGGGCTCCATACACGACTCCAACTCCAACTCAAACTCGTTGCACATACAGCTAACGCGACTGGGCAACTTGTTAGGTCCTAGTCGAAGCATGATAGTGGACTACTTCGGAGCGCTGTTCTATGTGATGCCCAAGTTTGGTGCAGTTGTGCGTTGTGCTCAGTTGGCAAATTTAACCGCCGAGGGCAATGAAATTATATACCTAACTTCCAAAAATATACAGCAAATATTCTTCGGCATAGAAGACTCCGTCTGGGTTCTAAGCGATCGTGTATTAAAGCCGCAGGATATTTGTTACCCAGGCGTATTAAATTATGTTTAAAATAAGTAAAAAGTGAATGAAACTAACGGCATTTGCTCAGCTGTTTATGTTTACATGAACGTGATTATTATCGATTGCTGACTGGTCTGACAATAAACATCGATAAGATGCAAAACCATTTCAGATTCGATTTATTTGCGCGTCGGCATATTGTATATATATTTGTTTGCAAATTTTGTTTTGGTTTATATCGTTATTGCCTATTAACATAATTTATATTGGCGGCATATTTGTAGCTAGTAATAAATTAAGCGGTAACAGTTTGCTTATTCAGATAGCCCATTAAAGCCTGCAAACGTTTCTTGATGTTCTTCTGATCGTCAAGAGTGCAGCCGAGGAGAGCACTTTCAAATTTCTTATCGATTGGCCCCACATCCGCTTCAAACACAGTTCCCATACGTCCGTTCGGATCCATTGAGCTGCTGCAGCAGGCATTTAAGTACAGCTGACAGCGTTGCCGTCCGATAACTGGGTCACCCATTTTGATCATTGTGTCAATTAAGGCATTAATCTGACTGAGCGAGTCCTCCTGTGACGCATCCCTCACGGTTCGCACGTTCAGATCCACAGTGGCCAGACGTGCACTAACGCGCTGAATATATAAAATAATCTCATCACGCTCTCCTGTAAACAGAAAATAGATTGGTATTATTTTGCTACAATACTCAATTCTCAATTAACTGTTTACCTTCGCTCATGTTTTGCAGCAACTCGTTGCTCTTGATGAGATCCATGGACATTAGGAGATAGTCCTTCTTCTCCTGTAAATTCAAGGCATCCTTACGAAACTTCTCCACGCGCATATCCAATTGATCTAGTATTGTAACAAATCTATAAATAAAGATACATTATTATCCACATATTTCTACACAATATTGTGCTTATTGTTTTACCGCTCGTTTGCATTGAATGGTCTGCCCAATGTTATTTAATGTTGATGTTGATGTCGTTGTGGTTGGTTATATGAAAAGAGAAGCAAAGATATTGTTAAATGTTAGATTGTCAGCTTATAGAGAAACTTAATGACACTTATCGAGGCACTCACACAAAGCTCTTTTTGGGCATTGTGTGGGCGACAATCGAATTCAAATTTGGCCTACCACCGCTCTTATATATATATTAATAATATTATCATAAGACATAACCAAATATGTACCAAATACAAAAAAAAAAAAGGAAACAATTAAAGATCTACGTAAGCTGAATAAATACAAAGTAGCACCGCGAAAATTTAAGATAGATAACAAAACAAAAAATTAAAAATCAAAATTTTAAAATTTAAATCGAAGGTTTCTGTTGTTGTGTTGACTAGAAGTAGATTTGTTTTGTATGGTATGTAGTTTGGAATAACAACCTGTCCAGCGCTTTACTGTCGTCGACCAGTCCATAGGAGACGTTCCCGGTGCCACTCGAAACGCCCAAAGATGTAGAAGCTGCTGCATCCGCATGCAAGCCTTGCAAATAATCAAAATTCATCGATGACTCTGAATGGTAAACGTTTGAAGAGAATGCGCTGCTGTTGCTGTTATTAAGATGGTTATCGATATCGTTGTTTTGATGGTGCTCCTGCATGCCAAGTGCAATCGGAGCATCAATATCCATTTCCTGCGGCTGATCCAGTGTGTCACTGAAAACTGCTTTAGCCGCTCGGCTACACTGCCAGAGCGAACTGTACGGGGAACACACTTAAAAGATGTTCGACAATACTTCACTCCTTCACTCCTGCTCTTCCTTTTTCGCTCTTTTGCTCACGCTGTTACAGTTTCAAAGTTCCGGCCTTTTCAGCACAACTCGATCGGCCTTCTGGCTATTTTTTGGAATGTGTTAAGCTTTTTTTCGAGTGTGTGGGTTTGTTGTAGCTGTTGTTGCTGTTATTTAGGCTTCTAATATTGTTTATACTATAGCAACACACACAAGCACGCACTCACGCACTGGCACGCACGCATACACATACACTCACCAGCTGCTGCAAGAAGAGAACAAAAAGAACGTTTATTAAGTAAGTTTTAATTACCTATCGATTTGCAAGTTGCTAATATATGCGCCTGTCCATTCAGGTGAGCGCGCATATTGCTCATCATTTTCATCTTCATTATTATCGTCGGGGGCGTCATAATTCACATTCGGCTGGGCAGCCAGCCGAGGCTCATTGTAGCGTCGGCGTTTTCGAAATATCCCTAAGAAATTCTCCAGCATATCTTTTTTATTTTCTAACACACAAACGCACACATAGACAAACAAATAAACAACTAAAATGGACACTGATTTTGTTTTGATTTAATCTGTCGTTGCCAATTCATTGGCTAAATAGATGTTTGTAGAACTTTCCAGCAGCTTCTGGGTATCGCGCTCTGAAACTTTATTTGGATGAAGAATAATAGCCAAAAGAATTTACCTGATGCTTTTCAGCTGTTACCAAGTAAACTACTTTATTTTATAGTTTTGATTCGGCTTTGTAGCGATTTTTTTGTATTCAATAAAATTACTTCGTTTCTGTTTACTGTGTTGCTTGCCGTAAATCTTGTGTGCTGAGTTTTTGTAAGTACATATCTAAGCCATGCTTATCGGATTTAATTTAACTTGTTACTTCTTGATTTTACTATTCATTTATTTGCTGTATCTTATTTTACTTCGCTTCACAATTTAACATTTTTCCTTTTTAACAAAAACTTTGTCTAAACAGTGGTCAGGTTAAAACAGTGTGACCGTCTCATCGAATGTTCTGGTATTTTGGATGGCATCACATCACGACCAATATTAATCGACTTTACAGAACAGATACTTAGTATCGATTAATTTCTGCCGATACGGTCACTCTTTTACGTTCGATATTGATTTACTTATGAACTAATGGCGCGGAAAATTTAAATCTCGCACACACAGCGCCGTGCGCGACCATTGACAGGTTTTGGTTATCACATCGAAGAAGTAGTAAAACGGGCACTGCTGCAACGTAGCATGACCTTTGACACAATAAATGAAGAATTCACAGCGCTGCATATGTGGATACAGATGCTGTCCATAGGCAGGGCAATGCAATAGCTCACTCGTAATATCACTTGGTGGCCTCACGGGCAGTGTATTCACTTCTAAAGTACATTTCGCTCGCTCCGGCAGATCACATTTGGCTGTGACGGCATTCCAATGCAACTCCTCACTGCACTCCTGCAGAATCGCCTGTCCGTAGTAACAGATGTAATAGTTACTACAACTAGACGAGCTGCCCACATAAACGATGTGATCACTGCCCGCCTGCGGCGTTAAGGTAGCACAATACTTGGCTGCATCTGTAATCATGCTATTGAGATTCTGCTCATTATTTGTGGGAGGAATGACAATATCCTCGTTCGTCTTATTCTGACATCCCGCATTGGCGGCCGTATCGCAAATTTTGTTCAGCTTATTGTAGAACATATTTGACGGGCACGAGGCGAGCACAGCGTCACCATTGTCCTGGCAGAGATAAAACAGCCGACAGTCATCCGGATGCTCCACAAAGCTGCCACTCGCCTGATTCCTGCACAGTCCCAAAGAATTTTGCCTTATGCTCACGGAATTGGTGGGTTTACGTATGCTCCAATGGCTTCTCGCGGCCGTCAAACACGAAAGCAGCAACAGCATCAACAATTTGTCTAAGCGAAAAGAAAGGAAGAAAGTTGTAGTTTAGATATTGTAATTGTGAGAGAAATTTCAGGATCAACCTAGGAATTTACTGATACACTCCATGGCTTTGATCTAATGTGTGTCAGGCTTCAGTAGACCTCAATTTTATTCTAATTTCGTAATGCGCCAAGAGCTTGGCATATATTGCGAGCGCATAGCATCAATATCAGAAAATTAAAATTTTTCCATATCGTGTCACAGTTTCGATAAGGCCTTTAACCAATACATTCGCTGCCGCCACAAAAATATTTCTGCACTATTTTTTGCCACACAATCGATCGACATGTTGATTCCCCAAATGAAGCACATTGCGACGCGGCACGTTATTAACTTTACAAATGTCGATCCGAGAAGGCACAAGACCCAATACAGACATCAACTAGAGATTAGCTGAAATAGATTGCGTTCTGCTACAGTAAAACTTCAATTAATTATGTTGATGTGCTGTTGCTGCTGTTGCTGGAAGAGAGACAACACACGATTGTCCTTGGGTTAGAGAGTGCTCATATCGGTCAATCGGAGCTTTATCTTTCTCTAGCGAAAACATATAGATAGCTGGCCCATTTCCAATATCTCAATTTCCTACACGCAGTGACTAAACAATCGCATGTGATAGAAATGCGGATGTGCGACCTTGAATGAACCCGTGATAAACTGAAAAATGTGTAGGATGGCGAAATACCAGGTGATCTTACCCAAAGTTAAGCGAAGATTTCTTGCAACTTTTTATCACGTGCTGTTGGCAATGATCCATAGCTTTGAAGTGATCTCTCAATACCATGTTTTACAATGTAGACATATGGATAACTATGGTTAGGAATTTACCTTGATCTAATTGAATTTATCAGAGGAAATTCGTGTACACTAATTGAACATAGCTGATCAAGGTTTTTACTTGGAATTAAGCTCTACCAAGAGTAGAAACTGATCTTGCCCTAAAAAAGAACAATACAAAGAACATGCTTACCTTTAAATTAGTTGTAGCTATTTAATGAACTGTTGCAAACATATTTATAAATATGATGTGATTTTTTACCTTTCTTCTAGAAGCAAACTGATCTTCCTGCGCTTTCTTTGTAAACATAAACAAAAGATTAGATGCTTGCCAAAAGAATAGAATGTTCTTCTAAATATATTGCTGATATCTTATCATGTTTTTTACATTGAGTAAGTCTTTTGACTCTACTACAGAACGGAAGTGATGTTATATGATGATGATATTACCGAAAGAACAAAAAATACATATGAATCATCATATATAATGCTTGGGAGGTTATTTACGAGTACCCTAAGAGGGAAAGTGAGCTAGTGACCTTCAATGAAAGGAAATTAGGTTCTTTCCATTTTTAACCATAAGTAACTTCAATATCCAAGCCCTAATGCATTAGCCTAGTCCAACAAGAAGCAAACGATCTTTCAGAATAACATTTATATTTAAGGAATGTTCTAAAAAACTTAAATTAGAGATTTAGTTTATAAATTAGATCAGGAGACGCTGACGTCCAAAGCACTTGGCCTGGGCGATCGCCACACAGGAGCGCTTCTCATAGTCCCAGCCATAGAAGAAGGGGCACTGCTGCAGCATCAGGAAGCCGTTGCGGCAGTAGTAGAAGTAGTTGCAGTTGTCCGGATGCGGATAGATGTCGACGGTGTGCTGCTTGCACTGCTCGCGCACGCTGATCGTGGAGCGCTAGGAAGAAGACATTGATACGATGTATAGATAAGGAATATGTCCACACACTCACCATGCAGTTGACCACCTCGGCCTTGTCGCACTTGGCCGTGTGCACATTGAAGTGCAGCATGGCGGCACAGGTCATGGGCAGGGGCTTGCCGTGATAGCAAATGAAGTACTCCGTGCAGGACTTGTCGTGGGCCAGCAGCACGATCTGGTGGGTGTTGTCGGTCGGTGGGCATTCGCTGGCCAGCACGGTGATGACCTTCTGGCTGCTGGCACTGCTCCCCGCTGTGGACGCTGGCGCAGCGGCTGTCACAGTTTCCGAGCTCACATCGAGCGCAGTGGAGGCTGTGGTCACAGTCACTGTCGTGACTGGCAATTCAGTGACTGCGATCTGTTGCACTTCGTTGGTCTGCAGGGGCAGGCCCGTGCGGCAGTCCACCTCCTCCATGGGCTCACACATGGCCAGCTGCGCATTGAAGTAGTCGTTCTCCTCGGGGCACTCGCCCTCGAACGAATCCTCGCCGCTGCAGTAGATGAAGTGGGTGCAGCTCTTGTTTGAGGCAATGAAGTTGTTGAGGTTGCTCTCATCGCACTCCTCAAAGACGTCTGCCGCCGCCAGGCCAAGGGCAGCCAGCAGGAGTAGTAATAGATATGACATCACGTTGATGCTGCTCCGCTCTGAGAGGTAGTCAAGGGTAGACTAAACGCCGCAGCTGCCACGAGAAGCGATTTTAAAGCGAAACCCCAGCATAAAATCGAGGCTTATCAGAAACTCATTTACGCTCTGCGCTTGTCATGCGAAAATCTGAACGTTTTTATTGGTACTCTTACAATTGATAAGACTTTGAGCTAATGCACTGCCGCTGCGCCTCGCTGAAGTGGAAATGCTGCGGGCACTGCTGCAGCAGCAGATAGCCGGCCAAGCACTGATAGTAATAGTTATCGTTCGCTGGATATGGATAGACGCCATTTTGAGCGCTGCTCTTGCAGGTCGCTTGAAGATTGCCTGCAGTTGTGGTGCGAAAGGTGCTAGTGGTGCGAGTGGTGCGAGTGCTGCTGCTGCTGGGTGTAGTTGATGGTGGGAGCTCTGTAATCCGGCTGCTGCTAGCAGTTGACTCTGTCAACAGCGTCGTAGTTCTCAAGGTCGTCTGCTCCGTCTCCTGCTCGGGCTCCTCCACGTTGTCATAGCAAACGACGGGCTCGGAGCAATCGCCATTGCAGTAGTAGGAGTCATCGCCATTGCAGTAGACATACTCGCTGCACTCCAGATTGGGGTTGGGTATGCGCCGTATGATGACGCCCTCGCACTCCTGCAGGAACACCGCCTGCGCCCACTCCAAGGGCCACAGGCAGCTGAATGCCAAAAGAAGCTGCAACATAAAACGAATTGCGTTTCGCAACTGTCAACCAGCCGAGCTGACACCGGCTGCTTTATAGTAGTAGCCCCCGTGCCTTAGATAAGGTGATTAGCTCACAGTTTTATTTTGTATTAATTACTGCCATAATTGCCAATTAAAAGAACAACAGAAGCGACGAGAAATTGTCACAGGTAACAAGTGAGAGTGAGAGTCTTAATTGAAACATGTTCGCGGCAGCTGATCCGCAATGCGTCCGCTGCACGTGCCGAGCTGCTCGCTGTAGGCATAGCCAATGGGGCACTGCTCCACGACCAGATAGCCATCCACGCAGTAGTAGTAGTAATTGCAATTGCCCGGATACACGTACTTCTGCGTCACACCTCGCCGGCACAGCCTGCGCACATCGGTGCCCGGTGCTGCAGTTGTGGTAGTGCTGGTAGTGCTGCTCGTGGTGCTGGTAGTGCTGCTGCTGCTGCTGCTGCTGCTGCTACTGTTGTTATCAGCGTACTCAATGCTCGCTTCATTCCCATCGCAGGTGTAGCTCAGGTCGCACAAATCCTCTCTGTCGCAGAACTGGGAGCTGTCCTCGTCGCAGTAGATCAGGCTGTGATTGCAGTTGGGTCGCGGATTGTTGATGTAGGTGCCGGCCCCGATGCCATTGCATTCCGGAAAATCATCGGCTGCGCTGAGCCAAACGCTGCCCAGCCACAGGGCAACGATCAACGTTCGGATGTCAATGCCTAAAGATTTGCCCATTGTGTGCGACAAGTCCCCGCCTGTGCTTAGCCCTTTATACGTTGCCCCATCAGAGATTGCCGGCTAAATTAGTTGTATTTAATTAGACGGGTCATGTTCCTGCAACTTATCAATGGAGTTGTGAGCGCTTATCAACTGGAAAGTTTCAGCGTGTAAACCTACCTACATACATACATAGATGTCTTCAGGCATTACACTGTGCAACAAGTTTGCAGTTTAAGAGGCTAACAAGGGATTTTAAGTTTTTAGATTTCATTTCAGCTTTCACTTTAATAAGATTCATTAATTAATTAAGATTTTTGGCAAAGATATTTTCAGAATTAAAGTTAAGAGGAATTGAAGCTAATGTAGAATTAAATTTTGTTAAAGTTTTTCCAGGAAAGTTTTAAGTAATAATAATCATGTTGAGTGAAACTTAAGGCTTTATTAAAGGTTCACCAAACTTAAGCTAGAAACTTTTACCTAAGTCTAATTACAGGGTATTCAACTTGTTTAGTCCAAAAAAAGTTTTGCCTCGCTGAACAGTGTAATTTTTTGGGTTTTTTTTTTCATTTAAGATAAAGTTCTCGGTAACAATGTTGCCCAAGATTCCTAGGGCACTACGCACGCCTGGCATTGCCATAGCACTTGGCCACGTTCAACTGGACGCAGCTGCGCCGCTCAATGTCCCAGCCGTAGTAGAAGGGGCACTGCTGCAGCGTCAGGAAGCCCTTGATGCAGTAGTAGAAGTAGCTGCACTTGTCCGGATGCGGAAAGAAGTCCGTCATGTGCGGCAGGCACTTGTGGGTGGCGAACTGGTCCAGCTGCAATGGAGATGCGATTAGTCAGGCCACATAAAAAGGTAGAGCCAAAGCTCTCCGAGACTTACAGCACAGTGGGCGTTCTCGGGCAGATCGCACTGTCCCGTCTTGGCGTTGAAGTGCAGCTGGTTGGTGCACTGCATCTGCATGGCGTGGCCGTGGTAGCAGAGGTAGTAGTCCGTGCAGGAGTCGTTGTTGGGCATGAAGATCACCTGGGTGGGATCGTCGGTGATCGGGCAGCTCGGCTTGACGACGGGCGCCGCCTGCACCACATCCACCTGTGTGGGCGTCTCCATGGTGGGCGGCGTGGGATCTAGATCGACGGCCGGTGTTTCCGGCTCATCGGTCTCCTCCCCCTCCTCCGTGGAGGGCTCATCCACTTCGTCCAGAAAACACTTGACATTCTCCGCATCGTCACAGGTGCCCGACTCCGGATCAAAGTACTGCCCGTCCTCGCACTCACCCAAGATGGAATCGTCGCCATTGCAGTAGACATACGACTGACAGTTCTGCCAGCTGGCAACGAAGCTCTCCGGCTCCGAATCGGCACACTCCTCAAAGACGTCGCCCCACACACAGCCCAGGCAGGTGAGGACCACGACGGCGATACTATATAGGCGCGTTCTATGCATCTCGTTTGATTGATCGATCGATCTCAAGTCTGTTACGCTAACTGAGCTCCGCTTGCAGCGATTGCCTCGATTTTATGGCCAAAACACACTTTGGCCCGAACATGCATTTCTTTTTAGCCTAATTGAATGCTGTGCTTATCAGCATGGCCTCAAAAAATCACAGAATCAGAAATCAGAAATCAGTTTGCATGATTCACTAGCTATCTATATGACATTATGTCATCGACTGACATTACATCTGTTTTGCTGGGGAGCAGGCGGAAAGCGGGGAGGCGTGTCGATTGGTCCATGCAGACTCTTCGAGTCGAAACACTCTCCGTTGTTTACATAAGACCAAACTATGCTTCTTCTGCTTCTGCTGCTTCTTCTTCTTTTAATTAATATTCAATATATGCTCACCAAGTGTTTTCAGTCCTCTGCTTCTTCTTCTCTTTCGTCTTCGTCTTCGCTGGCCAAAGCCAAAAGCGTGAAAAGAAAGAAATCATTGACCTCAACACAGCGAAGCATTTTGGCCGTATTTTGCTTATGTCGGTAGCCCGAAGACCAAAACGTGCCCCAACTTGTATATATATATATGTATATAGTGGTATATAATATATATGATGAAATATATATAGTTATTTCGGTACAGGTGCCTCGAGGGCCTTTACGTTTCTTTGAGAGCTTTAAGCCCTTAAGATATTTATCAGTGGTTCGGTTTATGGTTTGCAGGAATTGTCCATTACAGCGGTTCAATGTGTCCAAGAGCTTATTTACTTTATACTTCTTTCATTTGATTAGGACCCATTATTTTGATATACAGATGTATGTATAAACACAAATGCGTGACTTGAACCGGTTCGGCTTACACTTTTGGCAAATACTCATTGTTAGCTGAGACACAGAGCTTAAGCGATTCGAATCTGATTTAAGTTTTGCTTAGATCCTGAGACATATATATACAATATATAAACATTTATAAGTCAAGGCTGTATCAAATCAGGTTGCTTATTGACTTAAATATTCTAGAGCGAGCGCATACAAGATTTTTCAAATACCTATACATATAAACATATACATACATACATACAAAAATAAACTTGATTTTGAGCTGTGAAACGCTTTTAGGTTCTTTTATTTTGTTTGGGGTAAACTTAAGCTCAAATTCATTCAATTATTTTCTGGTTTCACTTCACATTGATTCATAAATCGGTAGTGCTACGGGGAACCGTTTCAATGCGATTTCCTCTAGCTAAAGAGCATCTACGATTCGTTCAGTTTGCATCGAACTTTCTCGCTCTTGCCGCTGTTCGCTGTGATATAAATCACACAATTATGTGAATAGCTTTTTTTTGCACCATCATGGGAGCAGGCCAAATACCATTCGAGTGGATGGCATATTGTTTTCAATACCCTACCTAGCGAGTAAATGGGGTATATATAAGCGGTATGCTAATGAGTAAGTGGAGAGGTTGATTGAGATAGAGAGGTAGAGAGAGAGAGAGAGAGAGGGAGAGAGAGAGAGAGAGAGAGAGAGGGAGAGAAGAGAACTATATATATCTATCTATAGGTACATACATATAAGTATATGAGTGAATTAATATCAAGAACTCTTGATTACCAGCTCTGATCGATTCATTTCGTAATCTTCAGCATCTCTAAATGAATTACGATCTGCCCAGATCTATAAACTTAGCTTAGTTTACAATCTATGGGTAAAATTGAAACCAAATTGATAGATATCGTTATGTTGCAGGGTATTGCCCAGTCGAGCGCATCCACTTGGTGCACTGCTGCTGCTTTTAGTTTTGATTTCATTCTAAATTTGCACAAAATCTAATTTATTGTCAAGCATTTGGCCAATACGATAAGACAAGAGCGTCTGCCTGCCAGGCGGTAGTGGATCGGTGGCTCTTGCTTCTCCGTTAGCTGACTTTATCACCTTTGTGCACCTGTAAGGCAAACAGAAATTTCAAAAAAATGAAGTCTAGAGAGAGCGAGAAAGAGGGGAGGGACGGGGTCAGACCTTTATATGTGTATTGCACGTGTAGTGATATTTGTTTAAACAAGTGCGAACGTAACCAATTTTGTTTCATAGATCAACGAAATGTACACATACATAAATACATAAATATGTTTACTTTTTATAAAATGCATTGACAGATCGGACAAAAGACACGATCGAGCCAACACAAAAGGCTGATCAATGCATGCGCTTTGTGGACTCAGTTGTAAAAGTCGACGAAGTCGAACTCGAAGTCGGCAAAACGTCTACGGAGATCTGTTTATATGTACACACACACAGACAGACAGGTATAAGGTGTGCGTGTGTGTGTGTGTGTGTGCCATAGATGGATCGATCAGTGAACTGCATGTTTAATTTACAATACACATGTACATTTATTTACAAGCATGTGTTAATTTCATTGTACAGCTTGTACAAGACATTTATATTAAGACTGAAAACGATCGTGTGAGTGTGTGTATTATATATCCATATATATATATATATATCTTTCTATATATATATTACCTTAGCTGTTGACAATGACTATGAGTTTAGAGCGAGTCCTGAGGGAGCCGAATAAAAAAAGGTGTCATTGTGTTCATAATGAAGTCATGGCTTATTATATGGAATGTATTAACAAAAGATCGGGAAACAGAATGGATCGAGAGACAAATAGACGAAGATTAAATGCTCTGCCAGGCTGGAGTAGATATAACAAATGCATCAAGATAAACAAAGAAATTGAAGACAATTTAGAGAACAGCAGAGCCACATTTATAACAAAATAACGTAGCTCACGAGTTGACGAAGATTAAATACCCTATTATCTAATACAAGCAAAAACAAACATACGAAATTCGCTAGAATTTCTTAAAGAAGAGATCGGTAAAAGTTGATCGGAATGTAAAATGGATGTAGATTAAATACACTGCTATCTAAATGATAGATAGGGTATATGTATAAATAGTAAATGCTAAATATGAATTAAGCAGAAGAGGCATAATTACCTATAAATAGCAGGCAATTATCGGGGAACGATTAGACTAAGATTGAATACCCTACAAGCCAATCAGATGTAAATATGGCAAACAATCATGGAATAATAGTAGAACATGTAAATATAAATATATAAAAATATTGCCAACAAACGATCACGTAAAGCAAATCATAAACGTAAAGTTCTATAAGGGAAGATCGTAAATCTACCAAATGATGATCAAATATACAAATACAGAAGAGAGTTATACATAAATGCATTTAGAATACAGTAAAAGAAGAAGAAGAAAGGGAGAGCTGATTACTATGATGAGTTTTATCTATAAATAAGGCCCGTACAACCTTAAAGCCCGCATATTTTTCTTAGCTCAGGGTTGCTTGAAGGCTCTTTGAAAGCATGTCAGTTGGTCAACTGCAGAACAATATGTGTTTGGGTCAAGGAAAAGAACTCAAATAAGAGAGCATGTAGAAAGAGATGTAAAATGAGCAAACTGAAACTAAACAGAGTACCCAAAGAGTGAGGTAAATAAAGTGGGAATTTTTAGTTTAAGGAATTTTAAATATGACACCATGCTAATTTATTTCTTATATTAGTGCAAATTAAAAGATATAGCTAAGATACCCAGAAATACACAGTCATGAGATTAGGCTCTCTGCAGACAATAACAAAACTATGCCAAATTTATAAGGCCCAAATCTTGGTTATTAATTTTTGTTTTCTTTTGAATTTTGTTATTTCTTTTAAGTCTCCAAATCTTTATGAATCGTTATACTTAGTAGGCCAAAGCAATATCTTTTATTAGTATTTCAGTAGGTTTTTCCTTAGAGATCGTAAGTGTATCTAAAGGCAGATAAACATGCGTAGATGCCAACATATTTTTAGCTGCTTGACATATGTTTCTTGTTTTTATTCTTTTGTATCATCAAATATTACACAAAGAATAAAAAAAAAACAAGAAAGAAAAATGAAAAAAGCTGCAGACACAGCTGCGTTTCAATGCAACTAATTATAGGCATTGGAACAACAAAAGGTATTGTTTAAATAATTTTCCATTTCAATTTCGATTTCAGTTCCAGAACTCGAAAAGAAGTCTCGAGTAATATGAAAACTTGATAGGTTTATCAGCCAAGTGGGCGCTGGCATTATCTTTGCGCCAGGTTGATCTATAGCTTCCTCAACAATTTTTGGCAAACTAATGAACAGACATTTGTCGCCCGCTGCGAATTGGTAATGAAGGCACTGCTCGTAAATCAGCTGTCCTGTGAACCTCTTTTGAGCCTCATTAGCTGTGGTTCACTTAGGAGATATGATAATTTCATATAATAAATATAATTATAGGCGAAGTCATATCAGCAGCGCACAAAACAATTAAAGAAAAGGCTATTTCTATAACAATTCTTATAGATCGACAAATTGTTTTTTTAACTATCATCAAGGAAGTCATTAAATTATCACATTTTTCTTCAATTTGGCATTTAAATCTAATCTAAATAAAAATTTTATTTATTTTAGTTTTGTTTTTATTTAATTTTGTTGCTGTTGAATAAGTGAAGTACAGATTAAAATGTTGCTGCAGATAAGCGGCAGACCAACAGACACCGAAACCTAAATTGCAACAACAACAACAACAAATACTGTATGTACATACGTAATGTATCTTGTTTTCCAGTGAAATCCAAAGGCAGTCACACACATATATGCACATATAATCTCAAACACTTATATACACACCCATATATCTACGGCTTTTTGTTGTGATTCACAAATCAAATAATATAAAATAATAATAAAGACTTGAGCGCTGCGCGAAATTATTTGTGCCAGCCAACGGCTGTCTCTCTCGCACACACACACACACACACATACATACATTCACACGCACAGAGAGACACACGCCCTCTCTTTTTATGCATGCCTGCCTGTCTATACTATATAACTGTAAAATCCACTTGAAGCGCCAGCGCACGATCAGCAAATTTAGAAGAGAGCGCGCGCGCGAGCGCAAAAAGAGAGTACGATTGCTAGAGAAGAGCGTAATCAGCGAATGAGCGAACAAGCAAACGAAAAGGCGTGTGAAGAGCGCAAAAAATAATTTGATGTGTTTTTGGTTTTCGATTTGCTTTTTTAGGGGCGGTGTTGGGCCTCTCTGGCCGGGTTCGGGTTCGGTTCGGCCTGGCAGCTATGCGGGTTCAAATGCGGCCAGCATGACGAATTATTACAGACACACACACATACACACGCATACATATTTGCAGCTATAAAATGAAATTATACAGACTCACGAATACAATGCACATTCTCAATGATTCGCGTTTGCATGTACTTAGCTCTGTGTGTGTGTTTGTGTGTGTGTACATTAAATATTAAAAGATCTCTGGGCGGCTGGCGTCTTGCCCGAGCTATCAAAGCTCATTGATCTGGGCTAACGACGACGCTCGGTTTGTTGCGCTGCGCAGCGTTGCTTTGCTCTGCTCTGCTCTGCGCCTGCCTAGGCACCAGGCATTATTTGAGACTTTCCCGCACTCGGGAGAGGGGGACTTTTTAATTTTTGTTATTTTCTCGTGCGATAATCACGAACAGGCGACCGGTTTTAGCCTGTAAGCCTGGCCAACAATTCGATATACATATGGGTTTTAGCTGTGTTCAAATACACAACAGAAATTTGTAGCCAAAGCTCTCAATATGTAAGTATATATGTACATACATACATACATACATTCATATGTGCATATGTACATACATATGTATGTACGTAAGTACGTATGTATATAAAAGTGTGTGTATTTGTGCATACAAATGTATGTATGTATGTATCTGCCTCTCCATATGTATTACACAAGCATTTGTGAAAACGTCGTCGCCATCGTCATCATTGCTGTATCTGTGCCTGGCTTTAAACCGGATCTTTGGTTTGAAAGTACATTCACTTTATGCCACTGCTGCTGTCGTTGCTGCTGCCGCTGGCGTTGACGCTGACGTCGCTGCAGCCGGGCCCAGGCAAACAGCCTTCAAATGACAAAAGCTAGCCAACTCGCAATGGCTTGGCTTGGCTTGACTTGACTTGGCTAACTGGCTAGCTGACTGGCTTGGCCAGCTAGACGTCGGCTGCACATGCGCATAGTTCAAATAACTTGGTCAAGTTGACAAGATCAGCAGCAGCATTTGCAGTCGCAGGCGTCTCAGTCGGCGTCGCAGCAGCCACAACCACAGTGCAAAGTGTTGCCAAGCGGCAGCGACGAAGCCGGCCACAGCGGTAGAGAGCTGCAGAGTGCGCTAGAGCATGAGGGGGGAAAACCAAATCAAATACCAACAACAACAAAAAAGAGTCTATAATAAAAAAACAGGTTAACAAATGTTGCCGCAACAGCCAACAGCAGCAGCAGCAGCAGCAGCAGCTCCAGTGGCAGCTAACGTCAACGTCGGAAGAAACTTGTTTTGTTTTTTCCTATAAGTCTTGCCTTGACGTCAAAGCCGGCTTACGACGACGACGACGATGATGACGGCGACGGCGACGAGAAACGCCTGCTTACATTCACTTTACAATAAGCAAAGAGCGTGAAAGTTAAACTAAGAGAGCGGCGCAGCAAGCAAGCGAGCAAGCCGGCAACCGGCATTGTCAACGGCAACAATGCGAGCGCGGTTGAGGGAGCTAGCGAATGTACGTTAAGTCATTCACATGCGCTCTTTTGCTTCACTGTGTGTGTGTGTGTCTGTGAGAGAGAGAGCGTATCTGCGACGACGACGTCGACGATGACTGCGGCTGCTGCTGGCAGTTCGTTCGCATTCACAAGAATTTCACCGACATTTAGTTTAGTACCGTTTTTGGCTGCAGTCGCACTACGGACAATATTCTAATTGTGCTAACCAATCATACATACAGATATACATACATATATACAAGTCTATGTGTATGTGTATATGCGCATTGTATATGTATGTAAATAGAAGCATATACAATTCAATTAAAATAGCGGCAACAGTTAATGATATTAACTACACATTTTAAATGTTATTATACATGGCCAACGCCAGCCATATGGAAAACGAAATCAAAATCAAAATCGAAATGCAAATGGAAATGGAAATGGAAATGTGCTGCTGTACCAAACACAAAAATTGAAATCATTAAATCTAAATACACACAACTACAACTAATCATTAATAACAATTTACTATGGAAATCTAGTGAAAATCGAATGTGTTTTGATTAAATGCTATACAATTTATAATTACAATAAATCTACAAAAATACAAATAAATAAAAGCCAACAAAAGAAAATCCCCTGCAAAACGCGTGCAACAAGTTAAATCCAGCTACAAATTGTAAACCAAGTTAGAACTACACTCATACACATACACAGACGCGTACACAAATACTCGCTCGCTCAATACACACGAACACACACACACACACGAGAACACACATAGACTTTAACAATGTCAAGTGAAAACATTCTTTGGAAGCAACAGGTTTCGCCCTAATAAGTGTTATAAAGACGCGCGTCCAGAATTGCTGTCGACTTTAGCCAGAAATCTTTATATGTATAAACACAAACACACATACATACATATATATAACATAGTTAATGAATTTATCAGTAATATACACCGATATACACACATGTACAGTGTTTAAATACAAAGCAGAAATTGAGGAAAATAGAAAATAAGAATTTGTGTGACTGCAACCAGTTGGAACGAAAGTCGAACAAAAAATATATATACATATAACATAAAAGAACAAAACCTGAAAAGTTCTTAGAGCGCGAAATAGAAAAGAGACGAAAGAGCAAAACCCCAATATGGATTCGTTTTACGATGGTGACCTCAAAGATATATGGGACTCCGATTTAGATCCGGTAAGCGAAATGCCCAAAGCTTTATCAGTTTCTTGTATGTTTCATAATCAGATACGATAAGCAAACGATCTTAAATAATAGTCAGATATACATACAAACATATGCACATGTATGTATGTACGTATGTATATGCATACTTGAGTTGTTTACATAACTTTGAACTGTAGTCATAAAAATGTAAACCTCTTGACATTTGAAAATAGCATTATGTCGCCATGAAATTGCATTAACAAATCTTTTTTGAGTGAAAAAAGCTGAATTGTTTAATAATATGTTGCTAGAGCAGTTAGAGAAAATTATTAAGAATATCATATATGTACGTAATTGATCTCTAAATATACTAAAGACCTCAAGCTTGAGCTGAAAACTGGATGCCAATTGATGAGAATCATATAGAGAGACAATTCGAGAAAATAATTAAAATTTTATTCTGCGTCATTCGCGCCTAATCAATTAGTGTAAGAATATACAGGTTGAGCAGCTCGAAACTGTGCTACCTATACTGAGAATCGCATAGAGAGCTCATTAACAATACGTCAGATTTGCTAATCTAATACCCAAAACCTATGCAGCTAGAAACCGTGCTTACACAGGGGGGTAACGTTAAAATTGCGTCCAGTTTGATTTGCCCTTTCCAAATACAGAACGATCTTCGTGCCTGCATATTAAACAGTTTCTATTCTTGAGACTTGACGAAACACGCACACATACACACAGAGACAAAAACCCGTCTAATAAAACAACCTAATAAAACTGTCTGTCCTCTGTCTCTCCGCCCGTGTGTCTCTCTAAAGTGCTGAGTTCAGAGTCTTGGACAGTCACCTGGCTAAAGGCAAATCTAATCGAGCCCCACTATATCGGGCCCTAGCTATGATATACGACAGCGTACGCAACGCGCTGATCGATACACTATTATTATTTGAATTTGATTTCGAATGGGAACGTGCCAAAATTGAAACAACAAGAATGTCATGATATGATATGATATGCCATGAAATACTAGGCTAGGCAAGGCAGCGCTCCAAGGTTTCTCAAGATATCTCAGTCACTCTCTTGCCTTAGCATCAGAGCAAACAAATAATGCTTTAGTGATTTCTTATGTTCGAAAAGCAATAACAACAAATATCATTTACATGGGGAAGGGCGATAAGGGGCTAGGTACATAGGTAGCACTATTTCTGCTTTTACGAAAGTGTCTCTGATAATGATAATTGAAGTTTTCCAAGAAATTAAAAAACAAAATGTCTAAAGAAATTTATCATTTAGCGAGCGAGCAAAAATATCATTTCTTACCACTTGTAGTTCGAATATAATGAAATATATATGTGAATGTGTGCGTGTGCGAGTGTGTGTGTGTGTGTATTCTTCTGCTCTTCGTTGAGCCTCATTTGTGGAGGCCTGCTTATCGCTGCGGAAACAGTAATGAATACATGTCGCCGGCCGAGGAAGCGTACATTTATGAGTACTACGACTGACTACAAGACTCCAAACCTAAAAGAATCTATTACGGCATACATACACACACACACGCAGAGAGAGAGAGAGCGCGTTTGTGCGGGAGGGCGGGAGCTGAGGCGCTGCAGTGATAAGACGAACTGCTGCTATCAGCTGCCCCAAATGCAAAGTAACTAATGACTTTTTTTCTGTTATTTCTTCTGCTTCTATTCAACTGCACTTTAAACTGACAAAAACGTCCGACCGTGAGTGTCATTAAAGCCGAGAGATAATGCAGCACAGTCCGAAATAGGCTCATGCTAAAAAAAAGCAAGTACAAGAGAACTGTGCAAGACTAGCAAATACCCTAAAGGTCATATAGAGCTAGCACGAATCGGAGAAAGTTTCCAAGAAAATATTCCTGATTAGAGCATCTACCTTGACAATCAGCTTCTATGGTTCAGCAGATCAGACATTTTAGATCGAAAAGATAGAGTCACGAACATATACAATAGATAGATATACCTGTTGCATTCGCTTGAACACAGCCAATATACCCCATTGGCGATTCGCAACGTTTGCAGAGTAAAAAGACAATCTAAAACACAAACAAATTCCCGGGGAAAACGCGCGTGCAGTTTTTTCCCGCCGTAAGCAGAACGCCGTAGTAAAGACCCGGGGCGTGCGCCCTCGATTACGTCAGAGACTGCAATAGGCACACACGCACATGCAGATATGCATGTGTTTGTGTTTGTGTACTATGTCTAAGGCACAATAAATATTCATAATATATTGGCCCATACGGGACCCCCATTTGAACTTCACTTTTGGCATTATTTCTATAAAAATTTCTATAAAATTTAAATTATCATCGTCTCAAGTTGACGTTGAAATTTTTGTTGCTCGCCTTTTGGCCATGTCATATCAAAAATCTTATCACAGGCCCATTTTGTAACCGAAAAAAAAGCAGAAGGAGCTAAGTGTGAGATAAGGCCAGAAATAGTTTTGATTACGCGAATACAATAAATAAGAAAATGAGGGATATATATATATGTATGTATGTTTGTATTTGCATAGTAAATAAAGCTGCATTGGGACTTTTCCGCATGTTAAGTGGCTAAAATAATAACAACAAAATAAGTCTAGATAATCCACTTCGTCGGAATTACTTGGCAATAAAAGTGAAAACAAGAAAAATTAACAATGAAATCCCAGAAATTTGTTTATTTTTGTTTTTGTTTTTACTTTTAACACTTTATTGAGTTTCGCTCGACTAGGGTTCATCAGCGCAATCTGTCAAGAGACTGTGCGACGGGGAAAAACCCCCTTTGGGGATTATCATTGCTGCCTGATTGAAGTGCTCGCTTATCAGAGCTGTCAGTAACTGATCGTATTCTAGTGTACAATACATACATATGCACACACACATAGAGATTGCTTCAAGTATTATTAATAATTGGAAATATTCTGAAAAATAATTAGCATTCTTAGTAATTACGAGAGTTGAACGTAAATAGAAACACTATTAGAAAATACTAAATGAATTCTAAGTGATTTTTAAAGATAAAACAAAAACTAGAA